CTGGTTCTGCTTCCTGGGCCTAGCAGGAACCTTGCATCAGAATCCCTTTAACCCCTATGCTCACTCCAAATTCTCCAGAATGAGGCTAGCTTGGGCAATCTTGTTGGTCCCAACCTCAGAGTTAACGCCCCCCGGTGGCTGCTCTGGGAAATAACTGCTGGAGCCCCAACAAGCACTCAGGGGAATTCGCAAAACCTCTGCAAAGGACTGAGGTAGATTCTGAACATCACCTCCCAAACTTCCAGGAATTAGGTGAAAGGTTTTGGTGCCATAAAGAAAAGAAAAGCTGATACGGAGCAGCCCCGATATAAAACGGGTGGACATCCTTTTCCCCTACCAGAGCCAGGCCAGCTTTCTCAAAGGGGAAAGGTCGACGCAGGGGCCAGGAATGAGGAAGCCCACACAGAAAAAACCAAGACGGCCCTGACACCAGAACCAGTGAACCTCAAACCGAAACTGAAGCCATAAACAGGAGAAAACAACTCGGCTCCATAAAGAACAACTTTGTCCCCCCTAAACCTGTTTCCCTCCCCACAACCCAGTTTTCCTGCCTAACCTCTCCTCACCCTAGAAAAGGGACATCTCTCCAAGACGGGCGCAGCTCCACGGACCCCCACCTTGATCCGTGAGGTCCGCCCGGGCCCAATCAATTTTCCCTTCCTTTGAGAAATGTAGCCTGGCTCCCCTTTTCTTGACCGCGCCGAACCTTTCATCAGGAAGGGAAAATTGATTGGGCCCGGGCGGACCTCGCGGACCCAAGTGGGGGTCGGCCAAGTCAGGGGGAGTTGTCAGGGGGAGGCAGGCTTTTATAGGGTGAGGAGAGGCAGGTGGGAGACTGGGTTCATACAGCGGGGAAAAAGTTTGTGGGCACGAAAAGCTTTGTAGGGTGGGGGGGAGGTTCATTGTCTGAATTCTCTGGCCTCCTGCATGGCGGTTTTTGCATTCCGGCTCCTGCATGGACCTTTCATTAGGGACTAATCAGTAGATTGGGGGAGGGTGTAACAGGGTGGTCCCCAGGAAAGGGGGAGGTTCCCTGCCACCCAAGGGAGGGTGGAGCTGAGCAGGAAGAGGAGAGCAGAAGAAGAGACTGGGAAGGAAGGAAGCAGGATGGAGCCTAGAGACCGTGAAGAAAACTGTGCTTGTCTTTTGGTCGTGGACTGGGTGACACAGATGTGGGTGAGACCCGTGGGGAGGTGACCATGCAGCTTTTATCTTGATGTTGATTTTGCTCTTTTCCTTCCAGGCTTGTCCAGTTGTTTGTACCTTTTCTGTGGGTCCCCACTGAAGATGCTTTAGACTTGTAGCAGGCTTTGGGCCTTGCTCTGGCCAATCCCATATGGATGACTTTTACCACGAGGGCACGGGTAACTCTGGATGCTTCATTTAGAAACTAGACTCTTTGCCTCACCTGTATTGTTCCTATTTTATTTAAAGTTCCTTCCCATTAAAGTCTTATAGTTTTGTGCTGATGCGGCGGATGGCAGAACCCATTTAGAATAGGCAGTTTGCGGGGTTTGGGCTGCCCTCTCCTGTCCTATAACAGGGGTTTGGAAAATGCACTTTCCTTGACAGGGCTACAAGGGAGCAGGAAGAATTTGGGGGGGCGCAGGGGCAAAACCAAAGACAGGAGCGATAGTAACAGCAGCATTGTGTGTTTATTTGCGTCAGGTTCCAGCAGCCAAGCCGTGACAGAGCCAGGCTGAGATCGAGGCTCACCAAGTGGATGGGGTAAAGTCGGTGGGTGTTCTGCCTACCTGGGCCAAGGGCCCCCAGCCCCAGGCCCTGCCCATCTCCTGGCACTGCTCCTCAGATCCCTAGACCAGCATTTCCCAGAGAACTTTCCGTGGTGATAAGGGAAATGCTCAAAATGTAACCACCACTAGTGCCATTCAATTTTCAAATGTAAATGTCTATTTTGTTCATCTATGGGGCACAGTGGTATTAACATGACCCTGCATGGTCCATCACCCAGCCCTGGTCCACAGAACTCAAAAACCACACTGATCCCTCTTACTTCTCTAGTCTCTCACCGCTCACCCTCCCACCCTGCCGTTCCTCCAACCGCCTTAGTGCCTGTCTCGGCCTCCACACATTTGCGTGTGCTGTTTATGCTGCCTCCTTGCTACTCCTGCTCTTGTTATAGGACAGGGAGAGGGTCAGCCCAAACCCCGCAAACCTGCCTATTCTAAATGGGTTCTGCCATCCGCCGCATCAACACAAAACATAGGAGACTTAATGGGAAGGAACTTTAATAAAACTAGGAAACAATACAGGTAAGGCAAAGAGTCTAGTTTCTAAATGAAGCACCCAAAGTTACCCATCCCCTCGTGGGTAAAAGTCCATCCATATGGAATCGGCCCAGAACAAGGCCCCAAAGTCTACCACAAGTCTAAAACATCTTCCAGTGGGGACCCACAGAAAAGGGTCACAAACAACTGGACAAGCCCGGAAGGAAAAGAGCAAAATCAACATCAAGATAAAAGCTGCCATTGTCACCTCCCCACGGGTCTCACCCACATCTGTGTCACCCGGTCCACGACCAAAAGACAAGCACAGTTTCTTCACGTGTCTCTAGGCTCCATGTGCCTCCTCCAGGTCTCCTGGCTCCATCCTGCTTCCTTCCTTAGTCTCTTCTGCAGCTTCTCCTCTTCCTGCTCAGCTCCACCCTCCCTTGGGTGGGGCAGGGAACCTCCCCCTTTCCTGGGGACCACCCTGCTACAATCCCCCCTTTTAATTTTTATTCCACCATATCTATGGTGGCACAATTTCAGGTGTAGTCTTAGGAGACAGTTTTTTAGGGTTACAATGTGTGTAAGAGAAGCAACAATTAGTCAGCAGCATTGTCCATGAATGTCCAGTATGACAGTTTCATTACTTAAAAATAGTCCATTATCCAAGCCAAAAGAAAAAAAATCTGGAGAACTGGCTAAAACAAGATAGCAAATATATCAAAATCACAGGGAAAAAATGTTAAAATGGTTCAACTGATGTAAAAAAAAAACACAAATTTTCTCAAACTTGATCCCAAACTTTTAACAGCAAAGCAAAAGTTTGCAAACCAAATCTACTTTTAAACCATTTTTCCTATTTTTGCATAAAATCACAGGGCAGAAACAACCAACAGCAATTTCTAGCTGGCTTTGTTGAAGTACTCCATATAGGATCAGAGCGAACCATTGGCATCCGGTCGATGTAGGCTTCAGGTATAAAGTTGGTCTCATCAGACTCCACCTGGGCTTTCCTCTTCTCGAGGGTACCAGGGCTTTTTTGTTGGCCGGGTTGTCCAGTCCTGCCAATGGAGGCAAGCTTCCTCACCTTCTTTGGAGGTCTCTGGAACCCTACAAACAAGGCAAACAGGTTCTCCTCTTCTTGGTTCAGCTCTTTTTCAACTTTCTGGAAGAACTCCACACAAAGCCACACAATCAAACTCACGTCCAATTTTCGTTAAAACAGACAAAATCCCTATGGAAGTTATGCAAAAACAGACTCTGAAATAAGTAGCAAAAATTACTACCACTATTTGTATGCTGTGTTGGTATCAAGGGGAGAGAAAATGTGACAAGTTAGCTTTGCTGGAAAAAAATTACAACCTTTCTGCAGATCCTGGTTAGTCAAAACAAAACAAAACAAAACAAAAATTTCGTGGATTCAGGACAGAATGCATAAAAAAAAAGTTCCAGTATTATGTCAAAGAAACCTTAGTAAATGTCAGGTGTATTTCCAGGTCTATTGAATCCTTTGTAAGAAAGTTTTACTCTCAACAGTTCCATCAATAGGAATCTGTTGAGACCTTTTCTCCCTATATTTCCAGAAACAATTTCTGTAGATGTGAAACAATTGAATTATACAATATTACAAGGTGACAATCACCATTGACAATGTACATACATACCAGATACTACTGTTAACATATTGGACATACCAAAGTTTTTTACCATTTTTCCAAGTGACAATGCTTCCCTTCCAGTTTTACTTCATTAGGTAAAAGCCAAATAGAACAAATTCATGTAATGCCTTCCCAGGAGGAAAAGGAGAAACTTCGTGGAGTGTCTCAGGAGCTCTACTGAGGTTCCACAAAATTTCCTTGCATCAGTCAAATGACAGGCCACCAAATTTGTACTTGAATTTAGATTTCTGGGAAGCTTTGCCATAAATATCAGAAAAGTAACAGAAACAACAATATTCAATCTCTAAGAAGGCACCGGCTTAGTTCAGTAGCACAATGTTGACAATCAAACCATAACTTTTTGTTTTTCTCATAACCGGAGACTTTTTTTTTTTTCAACGTCTATGGGCACCATGTATACCAATCTGTCAATCACTGGAGGTCAAGACAGTTAGACACAAGGACA